TTGACAGGTAGACTACTGCAGAGCAAAATGAAATGATTTAGAAACTAAGTTTCTACTGATGCAGCCAAAAATTTCTTTTTTTGGTTTTTGAAACTATTGTCATACAGCTGCATAATTCAGTGTATAACCAAAGAACTTTTTCACAAGTAATAAATCAAATCTCAAATTCCAAACCAAATTTGCATTATTCAAATAATGCACACAATAGTCCATTTGAATTTTTTCTATATGTTTAATATTGTTTTCCTCTCTCTTAAATTGCATTCCTTTACCTTACTTACTTTAAGTATTATTTCTATCTTTTAGGGTGTTAGCTATCCCATCCAATTTTGTGCCAAGTGCAAATTGTTACAATAAAAATGGTGAAGAGTGCAGAGCCCAGGACTGAATCTTGTGGTGTCCCATTCGATACGTACTCCAGCTTGAGGAAGAAGCATTGATGAGCATTCTTTGAGTACAGTTTTCAGATCAGCTCTATTTCTGCTTAATTGTCATGATATCCAGCTCATCAAATATAAGATAAGGTTAGTCTAGTAAACCTTGTTCTTGATGAATACACACACAGACTTCTAGTGATCGTAATATTGTTTTCAAGATGGTTACAGATTACTTCATGACCTGCTCTACAAACCTCCCAGCTATTGATGTCAGACTGACTGGTGTGGATTTCTTTAGATTCTCTTTTTATCTCTATATAGTAATATTTGCCTTTATCCTGTCATCTGGCACTTCATCGGTTATCCTGGATTTCTCAAATAATATACAAAGATGAAGCTGGTCCATAAGCAACTTCTTTCAGTGCTCTAGATTAAAACATTAAAAGTGAATAATTACTCCCTGACAAAATTTTTTTATCAATGTCAGGCTTTAATCCTGCCTCTTAATTCTGCTTTGAGGAACACATCCTCTTATTGGAAAAAAGTAAAGCAAATGTTCTTTCACAAATGAAGGCAAATGTTCTTTATTTCCTATTAGCATTTTGCCATTCCTTGAAAGCTGATGTATAAATTATTATTTTTTTATTTTAAACCTATGAGGAAGCATTTTATTAACTATTGCATGCTTTGGCAAACTCAAATCATTCTAAATTTTATTTTGTCTGATTGCATGTCTACAATTCCAAACTACCTGTGTTTCTTCTTTGGTAACCTATCTTGATTTTTACTCTTTATAAATGCCATTTTTATTTTAGATTTTCACTTAAGTGTTTTGTGCTTCCATATTGGCACCCTCTGCTTCCTCCTCCTTCTCCTCTAGGTTGTTTGCTGTTGTGGTTTTATTGTATTTTCCTGAATTCCTACCATGTAGAATCCAGCTTTAAATTCTACTTATAATTTATCTCCAGTGGTTAAAGTCCACTTTCTTGGTACCTGGATTTAATTTCCCTTCAAATCAATATCTCCAGTATTACATGGTCACTTTCAGCCAGCATTCATTCGCCTTCCATTTTCTTAATTAAGTCATCTAGGTTGGTTAACATTGATTTAAGGATAGTTGATCACTTGTATCGGGTGGGTTTCAAAACCCGTCGCTACTGGTTTCCTAGTGGATGCACTTGCGTGTGCACGCAACATTTCTGCCCATGTGCAGAAACGTCCGGGCAGGTAGGCAGAGCCTCCCGCCGCTACCGGTTAGCCCGATCTGGGGTGAACCGGTAGCAACCCACCACTGACTTTTTTTTTTTTTTGAAAAGTTTTTCAGTTTTATTTCTTATACACATAATATAAAATGTACATTTTCTTATACATAATTAATCATACATATACATGTTTTCCTTAAAGAAAGCATTAAAATAAGGAATTTTAATTACATTCAGAGTTGGTCTTCTACTCTTTCTTCCCTCATTTCGCAACAAACCTTCTTCAACCCACCACTGACTTGTATGTTGCTTCACTCTTTGAAGAAGCAAATTATCAGCAAGACAAGTCAGGAATTTCCTAGAAGGATCACATGTGACATTTCTGGAAGCATCATCATCTTTTTTTGGATGGCAGTATCTGATGACAATAATAGTGTATCTTTTATTTATGCCTCCTCTTATTTTAACTCTGATTTCCTCAATAATCTTGCTAAGTTTATTTATTTTAGGATTCTGAATCAGCAGTAGATAATTCTAGTATTATAGTGCAAATTCTCTTCCTTTTGTATTATTTGTGTGCATTGTTCAGTTCTCTTTTTTTTTTAGCCATCTCAATCCTTTTTATTATTAGTTTATAATATAAAATACAAAAATACAAGACAAAATAATAGGAAAAATAGGAGAGGGAAAAAGAGAAGAAGGAAAAAAGGCATTGACTTCTGACTCCCTTTGGTGCAGTAGAATAAGAAGTAACATCGAATCTCAACTTTTTACTTTTGCATAGCAGTATAAACTAGCCATTTCTATAACAACAGATCTATCTAATCAATAAAACCCAAAATCAAATTTTCATTTTTTTCAACCTCAAGCACAAAGTCCAGAAGCGGTTTCCAAGTAAAAACAGAAGTACTTGTGTGAACATTGTTCAGTTCTTATATTCCATTTTTGTTAATAATTTTATTGAAGTTTTTAATAAACAGAGAAAAAAAATAGAAACTAAACTAGAAAAAAAATCCAGAAGGTGCAGGGGGAAATAGTTGAAAAAAAGAAAGAAAAAGGCAATATAGACAATAAGGAAGAAGTGGCATCCAGCCTTTACCATACCAAGCATAAGCTAATATATTTTCACCCTTTTGTAAAGTTACAAATAAGAAAACTCTTCTCCCCAGAGCCTAATTTTTATGGATACACAATTCAGAAATCATCTTTTCAATCCTAGTTTAGCAAAAGGTCCATTAGGAATTACCTGATGAACAGTTTTGACCTTTAAATCATTATGGTATCACAGGATTTGATCTTTCATCACTTTTTGGCATTTGAAAGGAGTCCTCAGAGCTTTCACCAGCCAACTAGTAAATCCCATAAAGAAGTATCATCCAGAATTTCTTTCTGCATGTCCTGTTTTTCCCATAGTAGCATTGTCTAGAATTTCTTGTTGCAGCTGTTCCATGTTCAAATCCTTTTTTTATTTGTCTTTTGTATTTCCATTTTGGTAATCACAATTATGTTTTCCATGTCTTCAAATTATAATGTCCAAGATGAATGTGTTTAGTTTTTCTCATCTTCTAAAGGTTTGTCTATTGAAATTTGTATCCTTTCTATTATTAATATTTCAGTTTTAAGATAAAAAAAGTTATAGCTGGCTTAACCATTTTAACTCATTTCTGCCTGGTCCTTTAGTTCCTTCTAGTATCCATTTGCAAGCTTCATCAAGCCTCAGTTATTAATTATGGAATTACAAGTAGTCCTCGACTTACAGCTGCAATTGAACCCAAAATTTCTGTTGCTAAGTGAGACATTTGTTAAGTGAATTTTGCCCCATTTTACAACCTTTCTTGCCAGAGTTGTTAAGTGAATCACTGAAGTTAAGTAATGATATACTTGTTAAGTGAATCTGGCTTCCCCATTGACTGCTTGTCAGAAGGTTGCAAAAGCTGATCACATGACTCCAGGACATTGCAACCATCATAAATATGAGTCGGTTGCCAAGTGTCTAAATTTTGATCACTTTACTATGGAGATGCTGCAATGGTCATAAGTGTGAAAAATGATCATAACTTTTTCAGTGCTGTTGTAAGTTTGAATGGTCAGTAAATGAACTGCTGTGAGTCAAGGACTACCTGTAGTTGCATTTCAGTTGTTTCCCATAAATACATTATTTAATTATATATTTGGTTTTCAAATCTTACAGCAAAAATAATACACCAAACCATTTAAAATGTTCTTAAATCAAAATATTTTATTTTATTTGGTTTTTGCCAGTTGTGTATTACTTTAAATTCTTGTTCAAAATTTCTTAAATTCAAAATAGGTAAAACTCCCCAGATGTCAACTTAAGCTTGCAATTTTGAAGATCTCTACTATCAATAAAGAGATTAAATTGAATATTTCTGAATGTGATTAGAAAGTGGGTTTGGATGGTTTACTATCCTTATGAAAGGCTTTGAGAGCAAAGAGCAAAGATTTTACTGAAGAGCAAAGATGTCTCTTGGCTCCTTGTGCTTCATGAAATTTTTATTATCTTTTCATGAGCTGCCATTCAGAGCAGTTGTGGATGATCTCCCATACTCTCCTTCACTGGAGTTATTTGAAAGACCAGCTACTCGCAGATCTTTTATTTTTTACAGCAATTATCATCTATGTTCATTCTTATATTCCAGTCATGGGAGCTATCCCACAATATTTCCCTAATGTCCATTTTTGTTTATACCTGCTAAGAGTTCAATTCCTCTTATTCCTTTTCCCATACTCTAAAGGCCAGTATAAAACACAATAAGTTTTTATCTGAGAAGAGAGCACTACCATCATTGTTGAACTCAGTCAAGGTCTTTCCGATCATCCATATACTACTTTTTCCTAATATTCAACATATTATTTTATATCAAATTCATTGAGTAAATACTGCAAATTTTCTCAGATTAGATTCTTAGACTTTTAGTTGCTGTGGATTTGGGAGAGGAAACAATAGAGTGTTTTTGTCTATCTTCTACACTCTCTTTCCAAATATAGCAACAAATTGATGCTTCCCATTCTTACCCATTCTGTTCTCTTGTTATTACAACTGGAAAAAGCTATGTATTTGTTTCTATATATAGGTTTTACCAGGGCTGTTAGATCTCAGTTGCAAAATCAGGACAATGACTAGATGGCAAAAAAAGTTTTCTCTAGATTTTGCTGCTATCTAGCCATTTTTGTACCTCTGAATTTTTGTACCTCCAGGATTTGCAAATTCCTTTAAGCCATCTAATATTTCTTGGGAATGTTTTTCAACTTCATGTTGCTACATTGTATTCAATGAATTCATCTTTGGTAAACTATACTTATGTGGGTCTTCTCTTGCTCAGATCTCCTGTGTTCCTTCCTTTAAGCTAATATCCTTATTCCTTTCTCTTTGTGTAACTGTGTCTCTTTTTCTTCACAGATTAGTTCAGTTTCCCGTCTGCTATCAAGACTCAATGCTATACTCTTCAAGCTACAGTTTAATGAGCAGGTAGAAAACATAAAGCCAGATATTGTTGCTGTTACAGCAGCCTGTGAGGAACTTCGCAATAGTGAGAACTTTGGTAGTCTTCTCTCCATTATCCTCCTTGTGGGCAACTACATGAATTCTGGCTCTATGAATGCTGGTGCCTTTGGATTCAACATTAGTTTTGTTTGCAAGGTAAATATGAGGAGAAAAGCCTGGGGAGGAATAAAAAAATAATAAACATCTGCCTCTGCATTGTTCACCAGTAGTCTTGTTCATATCTTCTAGCTTCGTGACACAAAGTCAACTGATCAGAAGATGACCTTACTTCACTTCTTGGCAGAAACATGTGAACTGCAATATCCAAATATCCTGAATTTTCCTGATGAACTCATCCATGTGGAGAAAGCTTGTCAAGGTACTGTTTGGCATGTGTATGTGTTTTAAGATTGCAACCTTTTCTTTGTTGTCACCATATAGGCATTTTGTTTGGAATTCTGTTCAGAATACTATTTGAAACTCTGTCACATGCTCTTAATGATGAATCAAAGTATTTTCAACTCTCCCCAATTCTTGTTTCTTCCTTAGTTTCTCATAAACATTTGAAAAAAATATGCCAAATTAAATTGAAAATAACAGAATAACAGAGTTGGAATATCAGCAGATTGCTGATATTATGTATTGCCTACTGCCTCGGCTTGTGATTTTTTATAATGCATACAAGTAGTGTAGCTGGGATTTATTTATTTATTTAATTTAATTTATATGCTGTGTATCTCACTATTCAAAGTGACTCATTTAAAGATCTCTTGTCATTTCAAAAAGGAACTTTTCACTTCCTACACTTATCACCCTGTCATTTGTTTTTGTTTATTATTAAATTTGTATGTTGCTTAACTTCCAATTACTTTAAAGTTGGCCCTTGGAAATCCATGAATTCAATACTACTAATTCCTAACCAAGTAGTTGAGGAGCAGTTTTGAGCCAAAAAAGATTTTTAAAAATCTTAAATTTCGACTGCAGCACAATATCCTGCCCATTCCATTGTATGCTGGAGCTGCAGTCCATATATTATAGGCAGAGTTCTAAAATAATTTTTGAATTGGAAATAAGACAAGTTAGAAATACATACTTTCTATTACCCTATTTTACATCAGATTTGAGTTTTATACCAAGTAGGGAGCATAACCCTACTTTTTTCTACTACTGTAAGTTTTTTTTTTACCTTTCCTAAGTTTTCTTTCCTGTTCAACTTGACAGTAGAAACTGTCCCATGAAATAATATTAATCAGACTAACCCTTCCCATTTAAGGGAAGCGGGTAGTCCAAAGAATATACTTGCATGGCTTCCTAGAGAATGTGACTACAATAAATAAAACCTATTATTTTAGTTGATGTTAATTGTTTCTGCAATTCTGCTACATTGTCTCTTCCCCCCCCCCCAAGTTTCTGCTGAAATTTTGCGGAAAAATCTGGATCAGATGAACAAACAGATTTCAGATCTACAGCATGATGTTAACAATTTTCCCAGTAGAACAGAAGAGAAGGACAAATTTGTGGAGAAAATGACCATATCCTTCAAAAATATGCACTGAGAAATGTTGAAAATAACCTATGAAAGAAAGAATCTTATATATGATACTGAGGGATAAAATCACTGGTTTCAGAATGAGGAAAACACTGAGCAGAGTGCTCAGCAGTGGGATGGTTGCAAAGATCAGCTGTTAGAAAAAGCAAGTTCTCTAAAGCTATCAATATAGGTACTTACTGATGCAAGTATTACCAGACTTTGAATAATGAATTCCCATTCTTGTATTATTTTTTCTGAGAATCCTCATTTTCATTATAAAGCAAATTTTATATTTTAAGGTTCTTAAAGTGGCATTTATATATCACTGTTTATTGACATACTTTAATAGTATTAGAAAGATACACTGTATCAAAAGAGGAATTGTCTCATTTTTCACAAGGTAATGACAGTAATAGGAACCCTTAGCAAGTAACATATACCGTTTCCCCGAAAATAAAACATATCCTGAAAATAAGCCCTAGCATGTTTTTCCGCATTTGCGTAATATAAGGCCTACTTAAGAACCTGCGCAGCCGACCACCTGCCCATCCTGTCTGGTTGCTTGCGATGTCATGTCCACAAGGAGAACCAGGGTGGTGGTGGAGCTGCCCCACGCACCCTGCACTGGCTTACCTCAGGGCACCCGCAGCCAGGCTATCCATGCCCCGACACCTGCCTCACATGTACAACACCAGCAACCATGTGCAGCAGGAGCCCATGTGGCCACCGACCCACTTCTGCTTGCTTGTGGAGGAGGTTGAGTGGTGTGCCGCAAGGCGAGGCAGCTATCTGGCCTGTGAGGCGAGGCAGGTATCAGGGCATGGATGGCCTGGCTGTGGGGGCCTTGAGGTAAGCTGGTGCGGGGCATGTGGGGCAGGTCCCCCCTGCCTTGCAGCAGGGGCACTGGCGCATCATGCGGCCTCCTGCCCCACCACAAGCAAGCAGAAGTGAGCCCTCCCATATGTGGAAAAAAAATAAGACACCCCCCCCCCCAAATAAGCCTTATTTTGGGGCCCAAATGAAAATAAGAGTCTTGCTTTGAGTAGACTCCCATTCAAACAGTTGAAAGCACAAAGTGTAAACTCCTTCCTGGTGTCTCTTTGGGTGATTTGCAGGCAGTAGAACTAGGTATGAATAAATAAAGCTTATTTGTCATAGTCTATACATCTGGGGTTGCACCTGCGTAACCTATTCTTCCAAAATATTCCATAGCTGAACTCACAGAAATCCTGGATACATCAATGTAGCATGGACATTTAGTTTATCATCCTGTGGTTAATTGATACTAGGCAAAATGGCACAATTTATTTATTTATTTATTTATTTATTTATTTATTTATTTATTTATTTATTTATTTATTTATTTATTTTGATTTGTATACCGCCCTTCTCCAGCAGGACTCAGGGCGGTGAACAGCCGAGATCAAACAAAGCATACAAAATTTAAAAAATAGTTTAAAAGGTAATTAAATAATTTCGGCCCCAATTGGTTTTAATTGGTTTTAATTGGGTTGTTTTAAACCCAATTAAAACCAATTTCAAATTAAAACCGAAACGGATGGGATCAAGCCAACCCGGCTAGGTAAAATAAATGAGTTTTCAGGGCCCTACGAAAAGTCCAGAGGTCTGGTATTGTGCGTATCTCTAGGGGGAGGTTGTTCCAGAGGGCGGGTGCCGCCACAGAGAAGGCTCTCCCCCTGGGGGGTCGCCAGCCGACATTGTCTGGCGGACGGCACTCTGGGGAGGCCCTCTCTGTGCGAGCGTACTGGCCGGTGGGAGGCTATTTGTGGCAGAAGGCGGTCTCATAGATACCCCGGCCCTAAGCCATGGAGCGCTTTAAAGGTGGTCACCAACACCTTGGAGCACATCCGGAAGACCACCAGGAGCCAGTGCAGCTCGCGCAGGAGAGGTGTCACATGGGAGCGCCCCGTCGCTCCCATAATCCCCCGCGCGGCCGCATTCTGGACCAGCTGGAGCCTCCAGGTGCACCCCAAGGGGAGCCCCATGTAGAGAGCATTGCAGTAGTCCAGGCGGGAAGTAGGGAGTGCCTGAGTGACCGTGCGTAGGGAGTCCCGATCCAGAAAGGCGTATCAGGCGGACCTGATAAACCCCCCCCCTGGCCACAGCCGTCATATGCTCTTCTAAAGACAGCCATGCATCCAGGAAGACGCCCAAGTTGCGAGCCCTCTCCGTGGGGGCCAGTGATTTGCCCCCAATAACCAGCGATGGCACCAGCTGGCTATATCAGGACGCCGGAAGCCACAGCCACTCGGTCTTGGAAGGGTTGAGTCGGAGCCTGTTTCTCCCCATCCAGGCCCGCCCGGCCTCCAGGCCAAATTATATCCTGAAATACCATAATTAAATCCTCACTTGAGATTTTGAGTAATTTTAACATAATATATAAATCACTTGATCTCTGGCTACCATTTCTCTTTGGTTGTTTACAAAAATTTGTTTTTGATAGTGGTCTTGGAGTGGCAAACATCTTTCCCTCTAGATTTAGGTATCTTAGTAATCATGGAACAAAATGATACTGTGATTAGAAATTACTCTCATATAGAAAGTTAATATCTGTTTCTCATTTCAGCAGGGCATTGTTTTCTACCATTCTCCCAATAGTGAAAGAGAAAGAGAATTTGCTCACTTGCTTAATGAATTTAGAGGTAATTTCTTATAAAGGAACAAAACTGGCATGGCAACATTTTTTTAGTAAGCTAATATTTTCTTGCCTCTCATATGTGCCTGCCATCTAAGTCATTTTCACAAGAACAACTTCTACAAAATTTGCTGAAAGATGCTTATTACATTTCTAAGATGTAACTTTAGACAGCCCTAGAAAGGGTTGGAACATCTTTTATTGAGGACTTCTTGGCCCACCTCCTAGGTAATTTTGCTATACTCCAATGTGAGTGATACATAGAGATGAATGAAGTTGATGAATAACAATAGATTGCTTACCTGTAACTGGCTTATTTGTTTATTTTGAATGGTTATTGGATTTTACATGATGTGCCCATCTTTCTTTGCTGCAGGATGGAGTGGGGATGGAATTCCTACCAAAAATTCAATTACTGAATGTTGTAATATAATGGTTTGGAGAGCCACAGGCCTACACATTAATACATAGATAATTATTTTTTTGAATGAATAAATGCTGAGAGGAGGATAACTAGAAACATTCACTTGTAATAGAGAATGCTAAGTCCCGTTCCCCACCCCCCCCACCCCCCAAGCATTTTTCACTTTGGAATGCCATTTCTTCGTGAATGCTTCCCTAGCAATTAATGTGGTAGACCTCTTGAATATGGTTTTAGAAAATGCTTTGGACATCACAGGAGCACACCATCTTCATTTATATATTACAGCCTTTGCAAGGGAGATTCAAAAAGGACTCTGGGAAAAAAATAGTAGCCATTAAAACCAATAGAAAGGATTCTCTTTATTGTAATCTTGAACATATGAATTAAGGGTATTATTATCACCAGAAGTGTAAGGAGTCATGCCTCTAGAAATAAACTTCTTTTGGTGTTCAAGAGAGCCCAATGAACTGGAGAATGTGCAGGTATCCCTCACATTTGATGCTATTCCAACAGATGATTATTGATAAGATAAGGCAGCAAGTACCCAGATGATCTTGTGTAATGAAAGGCTGCTTATTCATGTACTGAATTTTACTTTGCTCTTTAAAATTACGAATTATTTCATATAAATTATGGATTAATAACCTGCAGTATATTTAAAATAGATTTAATAATAAATTAACACTTGATTGATACAATCATTTCAGTAAATTGAAATTTTAAAATAACTATGATTGCTTAAAGCCCCCCTAGGTAAAGCAGCTGTAGCTGAGTCCTCCCTTTGTGCCCTATGAAGAGTTGCAGTCAGGGAAGTAAATTATTTACAGTCAGCGATGGTATTTCCAATGGCTAGAAGTCAATGGAATATAAAAATGAGGTGAATCACAATGACCTAATCAGAATTTATTTTTGCAAAAAAGAGCTTTGTTACATTAGTACTGTGTTTAATTCCTCATAGTTAATTATATGGTGTTATTTTGTCAAACTGCTTTTTGCATAAAAGGATGGGATAAGAATCTGAAACTAAAAATACAAAAGCCAAACTCTTAGCAACTTCAAAGCAATTGACTTATTGTCATAAAGTATGTTTACAATTTGTTAGAAGTCTTTAACTCTAGTCTTACAGCTTTGTTAAGGAAGCCCAAGAACAGTATGAGAAGTTACGAATGATGCATGCAAATATGGAAAATCTTTATATGGAATTAGGACAATACTTCCTCTTTGACACCAATAAGATATCTATTGAGGAGTTCTTCACAAATCTGCGCAATTTCAAAAATATGTTTGTGGTGAGCATCCATCTGTTTTAATTACAATATGTAATTTCATATTACGTATTTAATTACAATATCAGCCACTATTTATTTGAACTGTGCTTTTTACATCAAACAAAGCAACAGGTAAAATACTTTGAAACAAACTCAAATTGTATGACATAAGAAGGTGGCTATTTTCTGTTGCATATGTTGCATATTTTGCTCCTATTGTGTTTTTATATGTTCTTGGACCTCCAGCATTTGGTTCTCAGGGATACATTACCTATATATTTTGTGATTCCATTAATTTTTATGGATAAAAGTAGTAAATAAATCTATCATTCATAAACCCATCACTGTTTACTTTGTTTTGCATGGTAGCCAGCACTGCAGTCTTTTATTCTGCTAAATGAAAAATATGATCTATATCATAACAACACAGCAAATTCGTTGTTATGATTCTCCATTTGTGTATCTTATCACCATCTTATTTTTAGCAAGCTGTGAAGGAGAATCAGAAAAGGCGTGAGATGGAGGAGAAGATGCGCAGAGCTAAATTAGCGAAAGAAAAAGCAGAGAAAGAACGTCAGGAAAAGCAAAAGAAGAGAGAACAACTGATTGATATGAATGCAGGTACTGAACCATGAATATTGCAGTTTGTGTAAATTTCTTATCTCAGTGGAAAACTGAGATGGGAAGAAGAGACTTCTCTTACTTGGTAATATCATAAGGGTACTATTTGATTGTGGCTCAGGGTCCATCCAGTCTTCACAATGGGCTTTGACCCAAAGTCTATAGGGATTTCCCATCTGGTCTACAAGTTCTTTTTAAGGTCTCCCAGTCCTTGTCCACTTGCCTTTTACTCCCTATCCAAATTCTTCCCAGCAGAAAAGGGATAATTTCTGGTCAGCAGCTATAGTACTTGACCGTGATAACTACTGACTGTGCTTAATAGATTTAAAATAGACTGCATTGGCCTCATTAGAGGGCATTTACTTTAGGGATCATCTGTCTCCATAGTATTTGCCTGGCCAATTTGATCTTGCAAGGTTGGCATGCTCTTGGTTCCTTCAGTTAAATAATGTCTATTAGGCCCCTGGAAGTGTGTTATCTCTGTATTTAATGCCTTCCCTCTGCAATGAGGTTCCTCCCTCCCATATCTAGATTCTGCTATTGTTCAGAATAGCCATGAAGACCTGGGTCATCATCCACGTCTTTGGTGAGAGAGAATGAGACTCTTTGCTTTTTTCCATCTAGTCTGAATCAATTTCCTTGATTCTTGTGAGCTGCTCCAAATTGCTGGGAATCAGGCAGTATTCAAGTTTAATACATTATTATTAAAGGTTCTCCTTGATTAATAACCATAACTGAGCCTGCAATTTGGTTGTACATTATAAGGGTTGTAAAGTAGGTCACCACGTGACTATGCCCAATTTTATTACCTTTTTTGTGGTGGTGGTTAAGCAAATGCTGCATTTGTTAAATGAACCCATTGTTTGACATTGGGTGTTTTTTGCCAGAAACTGGAAATAAAATAAGATTTCTGTCAAAAATATCATAAATCATAGTCATGTGACTGTTGGACGCTGCAAACAGCCATAAATAAGGACCAGTTGCTGAGCACCCAAAATACTGTCACATGACGTTTGGGGAAGGAGGGATGTCAGAACATTGAATTTGGGTTATAAGTCCCTTTTTTGGAATCTCATAATTTCAAATGATAAATTTCAAATTTCAAACAGCTCGTGATAAGTTTAGGACTACTGGTATTTTTAAAGTCTGCATTAATTAGAGAAAAAGGATGCCTGAATATGGCATATGTAAATATAATGTGGACAAAATTGTGAACCATATGGCTTCAGAGCCCAAAATAAATCCTGTACAATTGTAGTCAGACTGCTCCAGAAAGCACTCAAAAGGGATATGGAGACCATAGCAGTTTCTATATTCTTTGTCACCTAGCAGTTGGTATTCAAAGGTGGAGTAATTCTGTACATATACATGAATACGTATATTCATCTCTCAGACTGACAGCTGTACATCTGTATATTTTTATCTCACTTTCAAATTCCATAATCTCTCAACGGTATGTAATGTTTAAAGATGCTTCCAGATGGACAAATATTTTTAATTAAAATATTTTTGTGATATGCAGACATTCACTAATTCATGTTTGAAAATCCAAAAGGATACAAGTTGGAAAGTTGGAAAATGCATAGCAAAACCTCCTCTTGAAGCATACTTAATACGTGCTATGTATTATACTGTTGTTCTATTTCTATATAATTCTATACATGATATATAATAGAAATTTAAGGCAGAAATTAGTATTAGTATAGGAATAAACTATTTGAATGCAGCTTTTTGGTACATGATTACCATGTTCATATGCAGCAAAAGTTTTTATCTGTGAAATATAGTTAATTCTTGTATTTAATGTAATTATTAGGAAATTGCCCCTGTTCATTTTTTAGAATATGACTGTTAGTACATTTTATGAGTACATTGTGTAGTATAAATGCAAGCACATTGCACAATGTTTGTCTAATTGATAAAAAACAGGTGAAAGATTTCTCAGGATCTTATTTTCATATTGCAATGAACATTCCCTTGCTCTTATTTTTGGAAGTCATTAATGAAGACTATGTTCTGTGGATCCATTGGCTTATATTAACATTTCCAGTTGAAATTTTTCATACTAATCCTTGACTTTATAACCACAACCAAGCTCCAAATTATAGTTGTAAGTTGACATGACTGCTTCCCTCAATGACTGCAATTCTGGCACTCCTAGGTTTTGATTGTGCAGGTCATTAAGTAGAGTACTGGGTGCCTTGGGGTGGGGCAGTAAAGGCTCAGGGGCATTAGTAACCTCAACCAGTTGCCACATCAGCCGTGTTGCCACTGCTGCCATTCACAAATGTCACATCATACCAGTCACCTAGCACTCTTGAGGATCTGCTGCACACCACTTATCTTCAGGCATTTCTTTCCTGCTGTCAAGAAGTTCTTGCGGCCCACAAGAAGCAGCTGCTGGTTCCACACAGGCCTTGTTTCCCGGAGCATGTTTGTGTGGAGATTCCAAATTCTTTGGAATTCTTTTATGGAAGCTCCAGCTTCCTAAGTTGTGCAAGGCTTCCAAAATCTCCAGAAACCACAACTTTGGAAGGCCCTGGAGACTCCATGACACTTCACACAAAATCTCTGAAAGCTTCTTAAGGATCTGGAAGCCCAGCACAACTTCAGAAGGCTTCAACTTGTGCCTTTTGAAAGCTCTGTGTAAACTCCAAAACCTTCTGAAGTTGTGTGAAAGTTCAGAAAGCTCTGAAACCCTGGCAGAACTTCAGAGGCTCTGGAACCCTGGCATGACTTTGAAAGGCTTCAGAGGCTCCACAAGAGTTTGCATGCAACCACCAAAGGCTTCCCAAATCATGTGAGGCTTCCAAAGCCTGTTGAAGTTGCACTGGGATTCTAAAGTTTTCAGAGACTGCATGCAAACTCTGTGGAATTTCTAAAGGCTTCAGAAGCACAAACAGTTTCTGGGAAAGAAGGCCTGGTAGAGAGCCTTTGCTTTCTTGGCCTGTTTTGGTGCTTCAGGCCTTCGGTGAGTATGCAGAGAAAGGAGGCATCAAGTACTGCAAGATCACACTAGATCAGTAGCGCGAGAACTCACACTATTGATCACGGTACTTTAGGCCTCTGTTCTCTGCAAACTGAGGCTTGGATAAGAGCTGCAGCAAAAGGCTTTGCAAATGGCGGGAAGGCCTGGAACATAGAAGCTTTCCCTCCATTTGCAAAGACTTTTGCCATCTTTGCAAAAAGCCTTTGCTGCCGAGAATGGCGCCCTCGGAGGGAGCGTGCGTCACTCTGGAGCTCCATTTTTGCCAGGAAGGGCCTTTTCTCAAGGTCTCTGCTGAAGAGAAGCTCCATTTTCAAGCACCCCATTTCCATGCAGACTACGTTTGCAGTCTCCATCAGGGTAACAAGTGTTTGAGCAACCCTAGGGCAATTGGAAATGGAGCAATACACTCCATTTCCAACCCTCCCAGGGCCACTCAAACATTTGTCGCCCTGATGGAGACTGCAAACGTAGTCTGCATGGAAAGGGGGTGCTTTTTACTCCATTTTCAAGTCCATTTCCATGCAGATGAAGTTTCTGGTCTCTGTCAGGGCGACAAGTTTTTGAGCAGCCCCGGGATATGTGTGTTGGAAACAGAGTGAATTGCTTGAAAACAGAGCTTTTTGCTCTGTTTCCAAAATCCTCCCACCCACCCCACGGTTGCTCAAACACTTTTCACTCAGACAAACATAGGAAACTTCTGGGGTGCATGGTCTTGTGCGAGTTCAGGCACCCATCCGCTTTTCCAGTGAATGGGTGCCTGACGTCCCACGGAATCAGGGCACCCAGAAGGTTCCACTCTCCACGGGAAAAGTGGTTGCATGCTAATGAGGGGCTTGGAGCAATGCGAGTTCGCTGCCCCAAAGCCTCACTTTGTGCAAACGCTTTTCCGCACAGAGCCTGGAAGCCTTTGGAGGAGACTCACCGAGATTGCCCGCCGCTCCAGAAGTGGCAGGCAGGCTTGGTGATCAGAGAATCAGAGCTGGGTGCACTCGTCCTGTTCCCTGTACTCTCTCTGGGAGCAGACAAAGAAACAGAGATGCTGGAGAGGAGACAGATCTTTACAAGGTAAGTGACCCAGCGCAGCAGGTTGGGATGGGGAGAACCAATTGTGGGAAGCATGAGATATTTCAGTGGGTTGGGGAGAGGCCTTGGGTAGTCTGAAGCAGGTGGCCTGTTCCACATCACTAGGCCCCTCCATGGCCTTCCCCACTCCGAGATACCTCATATGCACTTAACAAGCTGTGCATTTGATTATTGAATGCGTGGGTGAAAGGAGGGAGTGATCACGTTCAAGGTATGAGATTCACTCGCACAAATCCTTGGGTTACAAATGGAATGGGCAGGCTCCATTACATTCATAACTTGAGGCCTACCTGTATTCCATTTTATGCTATTTTTTGTACAAAATGATAATTTTTTTTGCTGCGAAATACATTCCTTTACTTAGATTTAATGGACTTTGGGTTGATAAAAATCTGCCAATTTTGCTGCAAAAATCTGACAGGTGGAAAGAAAAGTCTGTTCTATTTTTACTGTTATTCATTATTAACATCTAAAACTCCTTTTTCCTTGTCTCCCATCTTTTGAAACAATCCTGCCTTTTCTCTCCTTCCCCCTACTTGTCCCCTCCTCTGCCCTAAAAATTAATTCTGCATACATAGGCAATCCCTCTCTCAAGATCTTTCTTCGTGCATCTGATGAATTGGCCTAGAAGCACAAAAAGCTTGTGATGATACATTTATTAGTGTTTCAGATGCCATATGATTCTTGGTTATTGTTTTTTTACTTCAACAAAAAAACTGGCTACCACTTTCTTGGAACACACTGACTCAATTACCATCCCTCTCTATTTCCTGACTCCCACAATTTCCTGCCAGTTCTGTCTCCTTTTGAGTTGCTTGAAGTTGTGCTGAATGACATGCCATTTGGTTTTTTTCACATTCTTTTCCCCTTCCCCCACAACCTTGTCTTGAGTTACTGTGGTGAAACATTGCAATGTTTAATATTTCTGCAAAGTATCTGCACTTGGCAGAATGAAGGAAAGACTCCATAAGTTTCAGGGAACCATTCCCATTCTAGCACAATTATTTCTTTCTGCTTGTAATGACACGTCTTTATTTCTCTTGGGAGGGGCTCTTCCTCTGTTTCTGCTTTTCCTTCTTTTAACTTTAGGGACAGAGCTTTAAAATCCTTGCCCTGTGTTGTAATAATAATTTTCTGTGGTTTTTTTTACTCTTATCCATAAGGACCAAATTAATTCTTTAATGTCTCTTTTATCAGAAAACATTCCTGTCTGAAATTCTGCACATTTCTTAGCACTACTATTCTTTTTTTTTCTTTTTGTACTTTTTTGAGAGACCCAAAATATAATGCAGGTTAGATAATCAAGATGGAAGAGCAAGAGTGAAAAATACGAGAGCATTTAAATTTTGCCTTTGATAACTGACTTTTCCTCAAATGTGTCAGCAAGCAGATGGAATGCCTATTTAGCTGCCTCTGTCACTTGTGGTTTTTTCCATCATCATGTGGCCCTTTTTGATTGCCAGATGATTCCAAACTCCTTTGTATCCATTTCTTTCAGGAGATGCCTAAGCACAATATATTGCTAAAGGCAGTGTCAACTTGAGATAAGATTGGGGGATGTGAATGTACACAAATACATTGACAACTTGTCACCTTGTCACTTTTATTAAAAAGACAGTAATTGAAATTACAAATCAGAAGCTTAATCCATCATTTCTTGTACAATTAGATCATTTATGTGATGTTCCACATGAGGTTGCATCAGCAAAAATATTGAGTGTGAGTATGCACACATGTAAATGTAAGGCTAAACATAGCTTTCAAAATATCTACCCTACATACACTACTTCCTTTGCTTAAATAATGGGAAATGAGCAACTGCATTGTAAATGCCTTTTAATTCCAGTGCTGTAAAACTGTACTTCATAATCACTATTTGAATCATTTGTAATTGGAGCCTATCTCTTTTTACTAACCATGCCATAGACTTTCTGATGGAATTGGAAAAATGAAGGTTTCTGTGGCAATTTCTCTCCATTTTTGTTTTCTGTTCTTGAAGGCATTAATGAAGGCTTCCAGAATATATTGGTAACATTTGGCCATTTATTTTGTCCAGCAGGTGGCAGTACAAACAATGGATTCAGTCTACCTAAAACCAGAGCAGATGTTCTAATGTGATTTTATAGGTTTATGTTTTGTCAGGAACTGTTACTATGGAAACCAGATTTTGCAAGCTCCTCATGAAGTTGCAGTTAACACATTCAGTGCCAGGTTGATGAGAGTTGGGGGAGGCAAACATTCAAATGGAATAGAAAATATTGTAGTCTTCAGGGACTTTTCTTTTAAATGTATACTTGTAGAGTCTGTGTTGAAGAGTTTGTACAATTTTATTTTCAAATGTTTTACACACAAACACACCAATAGTTCTTCTCACATGTACTTCTCTGCCCTCTAAGACAGTGCTGGCTTTGTTGCTCCTGTTGAAAGAGATGCCAAGTTATGGTTTATACCCATTTGTTCTTTTTCTAATGCCTGCAATTAAGTAAATACTTGGTTGTATGGTATTGTTGTCTCCAAAGAGGCTCAGCTTCTTGTCTAGCAGAAAGCAGCATTGGCAAAACATAGTTTTCATCACAGGAGCAATGTAGGTGCTCTTCCTCTTCCTGTTTTTGAGACGAGAAATATGCTTGTTGCTAAGGAAACAGCATTAACTGGCCTGTTTCAGCCAGTCTTCTTAATACTCTGACTGTTGTATAAAGTGAAAAGTAGATCAGTGGAAAATGCATAACTCTAAACCCCTCAGGATACTAATGATTTCAAGGCATCAGAGTAATACCATATCTGTACTATTAAACCAGAATGTCTGTGACATATAAAGGAAGAGATGAAATGTTATAAGGAATTTCTCTTTGTTTTATATCCAAATTGGAAATTGTGTGTTTATAAAACAGCTACGTTGATAGAAGGAAAAATGCCTCAGAAACTTCCAGGAAGTATTTTTTAAAAAAATTCTTCTTTAAGCCCTCCATTGTGCAATTTTATATAAGGTTTCTCCCGATTTAAGAGAAAGGAAGATTTTTGTGTATTGTTGTCTTCACATAGTAAATTTTCACACATGACCAGCTCTTCTTTGTTTTTATCAAGAAATATTTTAATGACAATGTTATTCGCTTTTCTACAGTACACATTCCAAAACACACATAGTCTTGAGTCTATAATGCTACTTCTTAGATGGAGGTGCCAATGAAAATAACAAGAAATCTCTATTTTGTGTTCTTGCAGAAGGAGATGAGACAGGAGTTATGGACAGCCTACTAGAAGCCTTACAGTCAGGTGCAGCCTTCCGTAGAAAAAGAGGACCACGCCAAGGTATGGTTTTGCTTAAATGTCTTCAAAGCAAGTGTGAAATAATCATTTTTCTTAGCACCATTATGAACCAACTCTAGGTTTTGGAATATGAAGACAGAATTGAATGGGAAAAAAAATTCCACTTGCCTTTTGAAGATAACAAAGCTTTGATGTCTCTGCCATGTACTTCATACATATAATATATTATATAATATAATGTAGAATATAGTTATTCGATCAATTAGTTAAATCTTGTTTATCCATAAAATTCAGTATCAATCATTGGCTCAAAATAGCGGCTGTAGGGATAAAATAGAGAAAGCCCGACTAGCGGTCAACGGTCCGACTAGCGAACCCAAGAAAAATACACTCAGGAACATTTAAATTCCAAAAGCATAACACCATTTCAGCACTGAAGAATCAAAACCAACTCTGTTTTTTCCTGTGCAATGCACAGATTGGTCACATTGTCCAATTATGAATTGTCCGATTCTTTTGAGAACAGTTCACTTCTCTGTCGGACACCTGCATCAGTGTCCTTGGTGGGATATTGGCTCTCATGGTCTGTCTCTAGAGTGTCTGCATTCTTTCACTCTTTCCTCCCCTCAGTTTTTTGGCAAGTTGAAGAGCGATAAGACCTAAACATTTCAAAAGCAGTTCAACCTTGACATGCCAACCTCCTGGGAAAAAGAGGAGACCTGGAAAAATATCAAACATAGATATCAAACATCCTTATTCATGTTCCTTGAGCCTTCAGTCCCCTGTTTTTCATGGTTGCTTAGCATGGAATCTTCTCACTAACCTATGAGCGTTAACATCCTGTTCTTTCACCCATTCTGCTTCTGACATCGGGTACCCTTTCTGTCAACCCTGAAGCTGACCTGACTGGCATGGGCACAAACTCTATTCCTGTAGCCAGTTTGAATGGGGTAAGCCCAGTGCTGCTATGAACTGAGTTGTTATAGGCTATCTCTGCAAATGGTAAAAGTTCCACCTAGTTCATTTGCTGATAGTTCATATAGCAATGTAACTATTGTTTGACTATTTCATTGGTCGGTTCTGCCACCCCGTTAGTATTCAGATGGAACCCTGAACTAAAGTTGATAGGGAGGAACCTATCAACTTTAAAAACTTGCACCAGAACGTTGCAGTGAACTGTACCCCCCAGTCTGAGATGATGCATTTCGGAACTCCATGTTGCCGGTATATGTGTTGTATGAACAGTATGGCTAGCTTCTGGGCTGATGGAAGCTTGGGGCACACAATGAAATAGGCTTGCTTTGAAAACAAGTCGAATACAGTCCAAATCACCATGCTTCCCCCGCTCTCCGACAATTCCACAATAAAATTCATAGTGATCTCTTCCCATGATTGGCTAGGATCAGCCAACTGCTGCAGCAGCCCAGGGGTTTTTCCTTGCATTTATTTCATAAATGCACACACTGGGCAACTCATCACATAGCTCTCTATGTCCTTGTTCTCTTTGGGCCACCCAAACTGTCTCCTGACCAGGTGGAGGGTCTTTACAAAGCCAAAGTGGCCAGCTGATTTTGCATCATGGCTTTGGTGTAAGAACTGGGTTCTTAGACTTGCCAGGATGTAGTTTGTCTTCCTTCCAAGCCAGGTCTTCCCTCATTGTCATCTCATCCCAATGGGCCACTCATCCTTTTGTAGGGCTTCTCTCAGTTGACGAGTCAACCCTTTGTCAGGCACCTGAGGAGTGCTCAGTGGCTGCCACCTGTCAGAGGTTTTGACTGCCAGTTGCTTGGCAGGGATGATAGAGTTAACTATTTCCTTCTGGGTGTTTTTATACTGGGGCATCTGGGAGAATGCGTCTGCCAGAAAGTTCTTTCCTCCAGGCAAGTACTTAAATATAATCAGTTAAAATATTGAGCCCATCATACTTGCTTCAGAGAAAGCTTCTTCGGTATCATCAGGGACTCTAGATTCTTGTAGCCCGTCCATACTTCAAATGGGATCTTACTGCCTTCTAGGAACTGCCTCCAGGTCAGTAGTGCCCATCAGACCACGTAAGCCGCCTACTCCCACACTGCCCAACACCTCTCAGTGTCCATGAGTTTACGGGATGTGTAGGCACATAGTTGCAGCTTTCCTTCAGCATTCTTTTGAAGTAGGGCAGCCCTCATCACCACATTGCTGGCGTTGGCTTGTATGACGAACAGTTCATCTGGGTTCGGGTGTTTAAGGACTGGCTCTGCCACAAACAGATGCTTGAGCTTCTCAAAAGCCGCTTGGCATTCCATGGTCCACTTCAGCAACTGACTGAGCTTGAGCTTCACTCCCCCGTCCACCCATCTTTAGTAGCTTGGTTGGGCAGAACAATTTGGGCAAATGACGGAATAAACTGTCTATAAAAGTTGGCAAAGTCCAAGAAACTTTGCAGCTGTTTTCTGGTTTGGGGGGCTTCCCACTCCAGTATGGCCTTCACTTTCCCAGGGTTCATTTCTACTTGCTTACTTGACACCTGGTAACCCAAATAGTCCATGCTAGTTTTATGGAAGTCACATTTTGATAGTTTGGCATAGAGTTTAGCATCTAGGACTTTCCTTAGCACCTCACACACTTTTCGAAGTAGATGAGGATGTAAGACACCCTTGTTTTGATGCTTATATGAGCACCTCATTTATTAATTGCATGAATATGGCTGGGGGCCCCTGTACCCCGAACAGCATCACTCGGAACTGGTAGCATTCCAGAGGACAATTAAAAGCTGTCTTCCACTCCTGCACATTCTAATATTTTTTAAATCACATTTTCATCTGTAGGGATCTCTTCACTTTTCCATTGTTGTGCAAATACAATTCTGGCTGCAGTTAATACATGTAGGATCAAATATATATTCCCCTTATTATAATTATCCGGAAGAATACCCAACAAAAATATTTCTGGTTTTAAATCAGTATGTTGCTTTATCATTTTTTCCAACCATGTATGTATTTTTGTCCAATTTTTGTTGCTTTTGGGCATGTCCACCACATATGACAGTACAAACCAGGTATCTGTTGGCATTTCCAGCATTTAACCAACTTATCCTTAAAACATCTTTGCCAACCTCGAGGGCAAGAAGTGCCATCTATAAAACATAAGTTTATATAAGTTTTCTTTATATGTAGTTGACATCGTTAATTTATAATGCCTATTCCATAATTTCTGCCACTTATCTAACTCTATTGTATATCCAAAGTTTTTAGCCCATACTATCATTGTCTCCTTTACTTGTTCATCTTCCATTTTAATATTAATAGATAACTAAACATTTTCTTTATTAGTTTTTCATCTGGCCCTGTTAGTATCTGATCTAGTTCTGTTAATTTTTTTTTAAAAAACATACATTTTAACATCTTTCTCATATCTAGATAGTATCTGCACTTGTGGCCACCATGCTATCAATCCCTTGACCATTCAGTTCCTGTTTACTTTTGAGCTCCCCCTTTTCATTCAAAATATATTTGTATCTAATAATATTTCCCAGATTGATAACGTTTGGATAGATCAGTGCCTCCATTGTGGAGAGCCAGACTGGTATTTTCAAATAATGTTGTTCTTTGATTTTCTCCCATACTAGTAATAATGCATTTCTAATATAATGTCTTTGAAAATAACCATGTATTTTGTTTTTCCAATACCATAAAAATGCATGCCAATCCAGTTAAAGATCATGTCCCTGCAAAGTTTTATGCCTCAAACCAATCCATTCTTTCACCCAAGTAAATACCAAGGCCTGATAATACAACTCCCAATCTGGCAACCCAAAACCACCTCTATTTTTCGAGTCTTGCAACATTTTCAAGCTTATTCTTGCTTTTTTCCCTTGCCAAATATATCTTAATATTATTTTATTTAATTCTTCAAAATATCTTTTTTCCAGCTTTATTGGAATTGTTTGAAATAGATATAGTAGTCTCAGCAGGATATTCATTTTTATAGTAGCTATTCTTCCTGTCAGCAACAGTTGCAGGTTTTTCCACTTCTTCAAGTCTATTTTAATTTGTTGCATCACTTTATAGTAATTATCTTCTTTAATAGTTACACATATTACCATTAACTGAATTCCTAAATATTTTACTTTCTTAACTATCTGAATATCTATTCTCTTCATTAACTCTTTTTTCTGTATATCTGTAAGGTTTTTGACCAAAATCTTAGGTTTTTCTTTGTTTATTTTCAGTCCTGCAACTTCACCATATTATTCTAATTTTTTAATTAATTTGGGTCCTGTTTGTTGTGGATCTTCCAAAATAAAAATCAAATCATCTGCAAACGCCTGTAGCTTATATATTTTTTTTATTATTTCCATGCCTTTTAATTCTATATCTTGTCTAATATTTCTGTTTAACACTTCCAATGTCAATATAAATATTAGAGGGGATAGTGGAAATCCTTGTCTTGTGCCTTTTTTTTTAATATTAAAGTTCTCTGTCATATCTCCATTTACCATCACCTTTGCCGTTTGCTTGTGATATATTGCCTTAATCATATTGATAAATCTCTCCCCAAAATGCATAGTTTTTAATTATAATAACATAAACTGCCAGTTTATATTATCAAATGCTTTCTGTGCGTCTAGGAAAATCAACAACATTTGTTTTCCAGGGTGTGCTTCATAATACTCCAGTGTGTTTAAAATCATTCTCATATTGTTTTTAATCTGTCTCTTAGGCAGAAATCCATTCTGATCTGAATGTACAATATAAATTCATTCAAAACCCTTTTTAATCTCTCTGCTATTATTGAGGCATATATTTTGTAATCAGCATTCAGTAAGGATATAGGCCTATAGCTTTTTATCTGCATTAAATCTGAGTCTTCTTTTGGTATAATAGTAATATATATGCTTCCATCCACAAATTTGGTACCTTCGCATCTAACAGTACTTCATTATGAACTTCCAACATTGACGGGCCTAAAATATTTTGTAGATCTTTATAAAGTTCTGCCAGTAGTCCATCTAGTCCTGGTGCTTTATTACTCTTTTGCCTCTTGATCGCTTCTGTTAATTC